AGTAGCCCTGGAAAAGAGTAGCCCCTGAAGTGGAAAAAATAGCACCGGAAAATTAAATAAGTAGCCCCCAAGTTTTTTTAAGGAGTTGGAAAAAGAGCCCTGGAAATGAAAATTTTCCCCTGACGCACACGCACGCACGCACACACGCACGCACACACACACACACACACACGCACACGCACGCGCACGCGCACGCACACACGCACCTGTTAATTGCTGATTGTCCATGCAGACTGAGGTGTCCCGGGCTGCGAGATGGACTGTAGCCGGCCGACGCGTGCAGCGAATGATTGCGATACGGCGACGACGACGAGCACATGAGTGGCGACCCCTGGGAGTAGAGCGTAGCAGAGGTCCGAGACGCCGACGATCGGAAGAGCCGTGGCAGGAAGGTCCTGAATCCTGGCTCTGTGCAGACATAACGTGCGACGCGCCTTACACGGCATGACGGGTTACATGGTACACAATACTACACATACTTTTATATCTTTAAATATTATATTATTATTATTAATTATATTATATATCTTCATTATTCCTTTTTATTATATTTATATATCATATTTTTAGATAAAGCGAAAGACGGGTACATTATTCCGTTTTTCGGGGACATTACCAGGGGACCATAACATTGATATACACATGTAACACATGAAATTATATGTAAATGTGACAGAATTGTTAAACATACAGTTGCAGAGTAGAAGATTTCACCAACAAAAATTAAACATAAATACACTCAAGGACAAATAAAGAGATGTGATACATTTCAACATGAGTATGGTAACCTATAAGACAAATTCATTCTTATCTAAACATATGTATACACTCACTGGACCTCACAAGCAAGTCACAATACAACTGGAGGTGATACGTGAATTTGTTTTCATAGAATGGGGATTACAGGAAAAGTGGACACTAACCATTTCCTTTGATTCTAAGCAACCGTTGTTGTATCATGGTCAATTCTATCGTTGTGCATCCAAGTGTAGGCCACATATAGTTAACAGCACAGATAATTGCATTTAATCCAAACCATATTGCCAGGATGCATTCTGAAATAGAAAAGTATACCAACATATAAGCATAGGGCAAAACATACTGTCTGGCAGGTAATGCAATCAATACAAATGAGCATTTATATTGCAACGTACCAATAGTGGAAACCACTGGCCAGGTAAAGTCGAAATATTTCCCAAGCCTCCCCGAGTGCCTGAAACAAAAGAAACATGTGAATGCTAGATATAGCAGGAGCGTAGCTAAGCCACTTTTCCTGGGGGGGGGGGGCAAAGCCACGTGCATGATCATGTTCTGGAAAGGTGACCGCTATTGACCATGTAAGGTATTTACATTTCTATTGGGCGCTAGCTACAGCCTACACTTCTGGATAGATTTACCTGTTATCCCTACTAGTACTAGTACTACTATTTACTAAGTACTAGTACTAGTAGTAGTACTAGTACTAGTAGTACTACTAGTACTACTACTGCTGAGAGGGTCTATGTCCCCCAGGGTACTGCCGCAACGTACCCTGGGTACGGTCCGGTATACCGGAACGTACCCTTGTACTATCTAATACAGGGTTCTCCCTACGTTGCGCAAACGGGGCGCGCGCGCCCCGTTTGGGAAAACTCCCCCCTGTTTGAATCGTTGCGCCCCGTTTAAATTCCACCACAATAAAAGTTTGCCAGCGCGGGGATCGTCAAGAATTGCCGTTCGACCAGGACATCCGACCCATGCACTGCGGACAGTACAAAAGTTAACCTGTC